TTTCCTGGTCCCTTTTCTTCCTGGTACTATTCTTTGATCACCAGTTTTGTTATAGGCATTTCTACCTTTTTTTTTTTGAGAGATTTTGATTCATCTGGACTCCTCCTTGTTCATTTTCTCTCAGATCTGGTCATTGATTTAGTTTTTTTTTTTTTTTTTGAGAGGTTTTGATTCATCTGGACTCCTTGTTCATTTTCTCTCAGATCTGGTCATTGGTTTAGTCTTGAAGTTCTCTCATTTCTTTGTCATTCTTTTTGATTCTGTGGTGACTCAGGCTTTTGTGAATATTAGTGGTCTGCTAGTTGGTGTCTTTGTATCAAATCATTAACCTTTGTTCCATTAATGAAGCAATAATCTTATTTTTCTATGAATTTTTTCATAGGAATATTTTAAAGTTAAAAAAAGATTAAAATATAATATGTCCACATTTTAAAAACTTCAAATAGTGGAAAATACCTGGCTTGAATTAAAATTTAAATAGGATTTTTCTAAAAGTGACACAAAACAGACAACACAAACCAATATTCTGAGATTTCCCAGTAAGTCCCATTAGAATTATAGGTTCTGTTGGCACATGATCTGCCTTCTAAGTAATTTCAGGTAGCAATGCACCAAAAGTTTTGTTATGGCATCAGATTTCTTACCTGTCATATTTCCTTGTCACTCACCACGCCACTCCCCACCACTGCACCAATGCCTTGTGTTTTAGGTTTTGTTATATCAGCACTTCTGTACTGATATCACATCCTGTATTAGACAGGAAGCAAGTAATAATGACCTAAAATATACATATATCCCTCACACAAAAGTCCTAGAGTGAGCAGGCCAGGGCTAATACAGTGTTGGATGTTGTCAGAGACTCCAGCTCCTTCTATCGTATTGTTCTGCCATTCTTTTTTTTTTCTTGGAGGGGAGGGGTAATGATTTTAGCTTTATTTTTTTACAGCTGTATTGTGCTATGACTGATATGCAGAAACTGCACATATTTAATACATACAGTCTCATGAGTTCGAACATATGTATACACCATGATACCATCACCAGAGTCCATGATACCATCACCATAGTCAAGGTGCCGTTTTTTTTTTTCTCCCCTCTTTAAATTCTCTACCCGCCCCCATTTCTACCCCTGACCCATGTATGTTGCTGTTTCCCCTTAAGAAATGGATCTCTGAAGGCAGGGCATCCCCTCCCACATGCTTGCAGTGTGCACCTGGGGACTGGCGCACCCAGGGGGCCCGGAGCACCCAGGTATGGTCCATGGCTCCACCTGGGACACAAACCCAGGAGCTTCTGCATGCAAAGCAGACATGCTAACCACTACACTATGGAGCCACCCTGGTGCTGTTCTTAATATGACTTCAATCTCATGTGCTAACATGGCTCTTTCATCTTTCACCATTATATCTTCAGTTCAGCCAGTAAGAAGGAGAGAAATGCGAGGAGAGAAATGGAAGGGGAGAGCAAGTTGTTTTACTATTAAAGGTGTGACCTAGGAGGTTTCTAAATTACTTCCACTCAAAATCCTGGCAAAAATCTAGTCACGGCCACAGCTAGCTAGCTACAAGAGAGGCTGTGGTCTTTAGTTTGGTGACTGTGGTCCCAGCTAAAATTATGGTGTTCTGTTACTAAAAAGGAGGAATGGATAGTGGGAGACCACCCACAGTCTCTGCTTCACTTTCCATAGGCCTGTTAGTCTCTGCCTATGTCTATAGAATAGTCATCAACATGGTTGTACTGTGTTTGTAACTTGTGGACAAAGCTGCAAGGTGGTATGGCGGCCGAATTGGAATATTCTTGAATAGCTATTACCTGGAATAGCTAAGTCCTATTAATTTGGCTTGTTAAAAAAGAGAGTTTTCATAATTCTATGATTACGTTGGAATTTCACTGTGACATGGTTGGGTTTCTATGGAAGCATGATAGCATTTGCACCATGGATGGCCGAATACCATAATCCTAGAAACTTTAAATCCATGCTTATTAAATATTTCCATCCTAATAACGTTCAGGCATACTTCAGTGAGAAAATAGCCTTTGAGTTTATTATTGTAAACCATATTTTGTCAGAGTATTTATGTGTCAATATTTATGTGTCAGAGTATTCATTTTGCCAAGTGTCAAACTAAATGCTCTATAAGATTATTACAAATATATAACAAATTCTCTGATGATTAGTCATGGATTTTCATTTTACCTAATTTTAGAATAGGCTTGAGTATTTTTAACAGTATGTTGTTAATAAGATTAAGATTCCATTATATTTATTGATTACTTTAGAGATTGTGGTAGGCAGACTAATGGCTTCCCAAAGATACCCACTCCTAATCTCTGAGACCTGTGATTATGTTATCTTCAGTGGCAAAAGAGACTTTCCAGATGTGATTAAGCATGTGGATTTTGAAATGGGAGATTATCCTGGATTATCTAGGTGGGATCAATTTAAATCTCATAAGTCCTTAAAAATATAAGAGGGCAACAGAAGAGTGGATCAGAAAGGTGTGACTCAAAAACTAAACCCACTAATGTAGCTTTGAAGATGGAGAATGGGGGTAACCTCTAGAAGCCAAAAAAAGGCAAGGAAATGGATTCTCCGAGAGCCTCCAGGAAGGAATGCAGCTCTACTACATTTCTTGATTTTAGCCCCGTGAGACAGATGTTTGACTACTGAACTAAAGAACTACAAGATGATGCATTTTTGTTTTATGTCATTTGATTGACATCTTTTTAATATCAGGTCATCACTTCCAGAAACAACAGTGTTTTTCTATTTATATAATTTGTATTTTACATCCCTTAGTAACATTTAAAGTTGTTTTTATATAGATCGTGCGTATTTTGTTTAATTGTGAATTAACTTTAAATCCACAAAGGGGATTGTATCACTCTCTTTTGTGATTGGTTTTTGTAGCTTTCGAAACCTTACTGAGTAAACTCTAAAATGTCAGCATGGTACTTGAGAACCTCCATGCTTTAATTTCTTTCTTTCTTTCTAACCTCATCCTTTGCTACATTCTACCAAATGCTCTCACTCCATTGGCTAATTTTGCTAATGACCAGAGTTATCAGATAAAGAATACGGGATACCAAATTAAATTTGAATTGTTTCTAACAAGGAAAAATTCTTTAGTTTAAGCACTTCCTGTAAAATATTTTCCCTTTATCTCATGTAATATGCATTAAGCAATTAGAAATTTCTCAGATTTAACTGCTACCCTGTATTATTTGCTAAACCTGGCAACCCTACTCACAATCTTTATGAGTTTCACTTTCACCTCATTCTCTGTCTACAGATATTTTTCAGGGCTAAGTCAAATACCAAATTTAATGTAAGCCCTTTTGCCTTTTTACTTTCTTTATAGAATTGATAAGTTGAATGTCTTTCAGATTGCAACCTTGCTTCATTTGCCCATTATGCCTCATTTTTATTACAACTTCAATAAATAGTTGCTGAATAAATGAATAAATATTAGGCAATAAATCATTAGTTGAAGTAAATCACAAAATGTTATTGGTAAACTCAGATAGGCTTTATAGAAAGTTATTTTAAAGCTAAGTATAAACATTATTCTTTAATAAGTAACATGGCTTTGTGTTTGCCACTAATACATTTTTAATAAAATAGAAACTCCATGTATAATTGCTGTGTGCATCAACTAAAGTCAGGAAGTTATGCCAACAGAGAATAACCCAACCAAAATATTTCTACTCCAGAGTTGTGGGTATCCATCAAAGACAGTTGCACAGTACTCTCAACAGAATCACAGACTCCAGGAGATGTACTCCCAGGTCTAAATATGAATGTAGGATACTAATAATTTCCCCCTTTGGATAATTTGGGATAATATCTGTTATAAAAAGAGTTTGAAGTAATTTCTTTGAATTTATTTCTCTCTTTAAAATCCAAGGTGATTATATCATAAACACCTGCTAGGAAATGTGCTCCTGGAAAACTATGATTAATTACAATGTTGATACTGATACACTTTCCTCTGCATAAGAATGCCTCTTAGAAGACTCGTCCCAAGTACTACCTACCACAGGATAGAGCAGACTTACTGCTCCATTGAGAGACATCATTGTGTTTAAGATGTTTTATCATTTCAACTCCAATATTGGACCTTCAAAAAATAAGACAACAAATTAGCCTGCATGTCTGTCCACACAATACAGGTAATAGAAGTCACCTGCTTGTGAATGAAGGCTAATCTAAATTTTTTTACAACTGAAAACTATTGTAAATTTTGTGTGTAGTATTGGGCATTGTATATGAATTAGGAGTTTGGAAAACTGTCTACCTTTCTGAGTGCACCTGGAGTCCAGGGCAGCTATGCTCATCTGCCACATGCAATCAGTGTGTCCTGGAAATTTAGATTCAAAGTATTATCTAATCTGCAAGTTCCATCTTGTTGCTTCTGCGTTATTTATTCAAGTCAGTAAGTTGTATTATCTGCTCTGGATGTCTCTTCAGGTTCAATCGGAGAAGGTATCAGCACTTTTTCATCCTTACTAGGATTTAGGCATAAAAGATGGTTAGTGGGTAGGAGGAGATTTGGTGAGCTGCACCATTAGAGATCAAAGGGAAAGAACAGAAGGCAACTGTACTTTTTCTTTTTGTAGAAGGGAGCCAGGGACTATAGATCAGGAGCCAACACATGGAAACTATGTAAGATCTGGCATGTGTGTTATTTTTCTATGCTTGCTATCCAGACTTGACTTTCTCATCATATTTTTTGAAAGTTTTAGGAAAAAAAAGCTAGAGCTCACAGTACTTGACTTTGAGTACTGCTAAGAAAGGGGTTGCTGAGGACCCGGCATTCCACTCTGTCACCAAGCTTAGAGAAAAAGAATCTGCAGGAAAAAAAAAAAAAAGGATCATAGCAGAATGGAAAGGGAAAAGGAAATGAATTGAATCCCCAAGACTTACAGAAACTTAGCTAAGAAGTAAAAGAGTCTGGAACTGATAGATTGTCTCAGCACTTGGACCGCATGTTCTGAAAAGACCCTGAAGGAACGAAGGTCTGTTTTGTGAGCAAGGAGAGAAAGGCATGACATTGATGCAGCCATGATTGATAGGAGAAACATGCTTACACCTCAGTTATTAGAGGCCTGTTCAACCAGAGGTCACTAGGTCACAACTTGGGGAGTATGAAGGACTCCTCCAGCCTTAGCAGTGCCTACTGAGGAATATCTGATCTTGAGATCAACTGGAAATGATCAGTAGAAATTGGCTTTTGGAAAGATTACTCAGGCTACAGTGTGTACAATGGATTAGAGAGAGTGGGATTGGAGGGAGGGAAGCTATGACAAATATGCTAATGAGATGATGATCTGAACTCAGCACTAGGCATAGAGAGGAACTGATGAATGTAAAAGATTTAAGAGGAAGAATCTACAGAATATGGTATGGGGGATGAAAGAGCATGGGTATTATTATACATTTATCAAGGAATCCTTTTTTGGTATACCATCTATTAATATAATTGCAGAATACTTTTCCACTGAACATATTTTGTAAAACCTAGGTCTATAATAAAAGATGTGACTGAATCTAAGAATACTACTCATGGAGAAGTACAGGCATATCATACAGAGTTCCACCTTGGGCAGCCCTTTTTGTTGAACATTTGAGTGACAATGCCAACCTTGGCAGTGGGAGTCATAAACAGGGGGCCTATGAAGACACCACACATCTGACCAGACATTGAGTAGAAGAGGGTCTAAGAGGGTCATGCTCAATACCAATTGATATGGGCACTGTAGCTCTGCCTATGGGCACTTCTCAGTTTGTCTAAAAGTAAAACTTTACCTGTGAAAAAGTCTTTTTTCTTTGATAGTAAGATAAGAAATTCCTTGATTCTTGGTGGTCATGTGAGTGAGGGCCTCACAGGGCATGTGTTGAGGTCTCACACAGTAGATGGCTTCTTGGTCTCGACTAACCAGGTACTTGCACAGTTCAGCACTTAAATTTAAGGTCAGGCCACATTTGGTGAAGACATGGAGGGTGCCATTAACAAATTTACCTTTGAAAATAATCCTGTCATAGCCTTGGTTCCTTGCTTTCCACAGAACTGACACCCCCTCACTGGGGTGGATGAGCAGGATAGATAGAGTGACCTTCCAGAACAGAGTAAAGCTGACAAGGTAGGTGCCATTGTTGAAGTCTGTTACCTTTCCTGCAGCACTTGCCTTCAGGTCAGGGGAGGACATCCTGGCCCTCAGGAAATCCCTGCCATATTCCTTCCTGTGTCCCAAGTGGTCCCTCACCTGCAGCAGGATGTCTAGCTGATCCCCCCTGCAGTATGTGTCTTGAGGGTTGAGGATGGTGGCTCTGCTGTGTGTGGCACTGGTGGTGGTGTTCGCATCAGTGAAGGGTTTGGGTGGGATCAGCTGATTTAGTTTCTCCATGATTTCCTTTATTCTCAGCTCAGTTTCTGTTGGTGACTCTAATGGACTAAGTGGTGTTTTAGGGTCTGAGGACTTTGTGGAGATATTCCAATGATGGAGGGAGATGGGGAGATGGGTACATTTAAATCAGACTAAAACTGAAATGACAAGGAATGCAACAAACTATGCAATACATCTGTCTAACTCATTTTTACTTATGAGTTTGAATATTTCTCTTTTAATCTTGATATTTTAGAGAATGCCTCAACAATTATAGATAAATATGTTGAATCCAAAATATATAGCTCAGAAAGTACTTATAAATAAATTGATTCTGGTACATTTACTCTTCCTTTTCTTAAATATCTTATATTCAGTCATCACTAAATTCTCTACTTCTATATCTTTTACCTATATGTAATGGTCTTTTCTTCCCAACTGCATTGTAGTTCAAGCCATCATCATTTGTCTTCTGAATTATAGTAGTCATCTCAAAGGTGACAACTGCCTTCAGTCTTGCTTTCTCTCCAATTAATTTTCTCTGCTGTAGCTAAATCAGTCCTTCTTAAGCAAAAACTATTCTTGGCTCCTCCCTGCTTAAACTCCTTCAGTTGCGTCTCATTACTCTTGGGATAATGCCCAATCTTAACATGGCTTTATGCTGTGGCTTCTTTTTAACTTATTTCAGTCACTTTTCTTGCATGCTATGTTTTAATAAGAGCAACTTTATTTTTTTTATTTTTTATTTTTTAAAAATTTTCATGAGCTGACCTTCCTTTCTTTAAGCTCTTGCTCTTTAATTTTTCATCTTTCTGGATTGCTTGCCATCCCCACATTTTCCCCCAAAACACCTAAACATCTATTTGGCTTCTTTTTAACTTATTTCAGTCACTTTTCTTGCATGCTATGTTTTAATAAGAGCAACTTTATTTTTTTTATTTTTTATTTTTTAAAAATTTTCATGAGCTGACCTTCCTTTCTTTAAGCTCTTGCTCTTTAATTTTTCATCTTTCTGGATTGCTTGCCATCCCCACATTTTCCCCCAAAACACCTAAACATCTATTAATTTCTAACTTAAAAAAAAACATTAGAACCTTAAAGTTCCTTCTTATCCTTTTAGCACTAGAACATGTTTTATAGGTACTTATGTTCAATGATTTTCGTATCTTGTTGATAGAAACACCTGCAAATTTTTCTAAAAATATGGATTCTCAAGTTGTTGTCAGGTAAACTGAATCATAATCACCAAATGCCTTACCAAGACTGTATGTTTTCAAAAGCCTCAGAGGCAATCTTATGATCAGATAAGTTTGAGCACAAGGGTTATAGATTCGTGTTTGTCAACCTTCTCATACTTTAGAACACACATAAAGTTGAAACAAAAAATGGCTTCATTGCACATGAGCATCAATCAATAAAATCCTCGCAGTTTGTACAAAGCAGTAGAATAAACCAAAAGGGACAAGGAAATGAGCTCTTTAAAGAGTAACAGAACCCATGTTGAATCTGAAAAAAAACTTACAAGATTGACAAATTTTGGGTAAAGACAACTAAGAGATAAAGAGGTGCAAATAAATACAATCCCAAATAAGAATCTTTCACTATATGTTTAGAAAATTTAAAAACACAAAATGGAATAGAAAAATAGGATAGAAAAATAACCATTCAATACATGTAACTAATAATATTAGTCATAGTAATAATATGTAATAATGATGATAAACCTGTTACCATTTTTTCCACTTCCAGAAGTCACAAGCTGAGATTGTTTTTTTTGGGGGGGTGGTGTGGCACGTGTACAAATATCTTTAGCTTATATAATGAGGAAAAATGTATAATTAATTTCATGAGATAGAAATATGTTTTATACTAAAATCTCATAAGCACAATACCAGAACAATATGAGCCTATTTTGCTCATGAACATGGCCTTGAAATTCTATGTTGATATAGCTATATTTGTGTTAGTGTGTGTTTATTAGTCATGGTAGATTATGTATTAATTTAGCATTGAAAAGATGTCCCCAGAGAGAAAAATCTTTAAGTATAATTTATATCTTAGTTGTTTAAGACAAAAATCTCATGTTGTTTTATTGTTATCGAATTTGTCTGATTAGGAATGCAGTTGTCAAAAAAGCATTTGATGTATTTCAATGTTTATTTAGTATTCAAATACAATACTAAAACCTTAAACACTTTTCTTTCAATATCAGGAAGAAGACAAAGATGATAACCACTTTAGAAGTCCTGAACAATAAAATAAAACAAACAAAAAATCAGTTATGAGTTTTGTAGAGGCAAATTGTCTTTTTTTTACCTTCTCTTTTTTTGTTTTATTTTTTGCAGATTTGATTCTCCACAAAGAAAACCAGAGTTAGCAAATTATTAGCATTGAGTCAGCAAAGAGCTGGGTACAAAATAAAATTGCAAAAATCAATAGCATTTGTCTATACCAGTAATAATCACCAGAAAACAGAATAGAAGATAAGCTATGACCTTTATAGAGGCATTTTGAAAGCTCTTTTAAGGATATTTTAAAAGACCTGAGTGAAAAACTGTAACACTTTGAAAAGTAGGAAGGCTTACAATATTATTATTAACGATATTATAAAGTTGTTAATTCTCAAATAATTTTAAAATTCTATGTATTTCTAATTCTAAAGAAAATATTCATGGGTTTAGGAGAGAGGACCTGATTAACTCATTCTAAAATTTGGTGGAACATAATAGTCTGTGAATAGCTGGGAAGTATTAAAAAAATACCAAGCCTATCATGAATTATAGTAATAAAACAGTATTGTACAATTACATTATCAAATAAACTGATCAAATAGAATAGATAGTCTAGAAACAGACCTTACATATGGCAGTTTATTATACGTTAGTGGAAACATCACAAATCAGAAAATTATATTTGGTAAATTGTATTGGTAAAGTTGCAACAAATTGAAAAAAAGTGTTCTATCTCACACTCCATAGAAAAAGTCCAAATGAATTAAAAACCTAAATATGAATATTATAACTGAAAATGCAATATAAAGAAATTTATAGTTTATGATCTCAGATCAGGAATTATTTCTTAAATATGATCTCAAGAGCAAATATTATAAGATGTGTTTATACAATTACTCAAAATTAAAAGTTTTATTCAATAAAGGACACTATAGAGTTAACAGATGACAGACTGGGGCAATAGATATGCAACATCTAAAACTAGTAAAGAACTCATGTAAAATATAAAAGTTACTATTGAAAATAAAAAAGAAAATGTCAGTCAACCCCAAAATTGGACAGAATATACATTAAAAACATGTATAAAAATGTTTATCACATTATTAGTCACATTAGTGAAGAGATAGATGCAGTTTATTTAGGAGAGTGAATAAGTTAAACTTTGTATATTCATAAAATGGAATACCTGCAGCTCTCAGAGATCATGAACTAGATTTACATATAGCAACTTGATTAGATATCAAAAAATAATTTGAATGAAAAAATTAAACCATTTGTGTAAAAATAAATACACTAACACAAGACTATATGCCTTTCAAAGTCACATGTATATTTAAATATATGTATGGAATAAGAACCGAATACTATGAGGAAAAGTAGTATGGAAAAATAGTATGGGTGACTATAGAGAAGAGGGAATGAGAGTGTGGGTGGGGAATGAATGAAAAATATTATAATGTAAAACAAAGAGTTCTGCTTTATATATGGCCAAGTAGTTTGTGACAGATTGACTCTCCTTCAGATAACAGTGATCAACTCTGAACATAATACCAAAAACAAGTACCTGAAAGCTATGGAGAGTGAACAAAACCAGGCAAATTTTAGAAGTGAGATTAAACTTGGAAGAAAGAGCCATCAAGAGGCAAGTTTCCTGTTTTCGAAGTTTTGTCTGAGGGCATTCACAGAAGCATTGAGTAGCTAAAATGCATAGAAACCCCATTTCAAAAAATGGTGTGAACAATTTGGGATCCAAGTCTGCAGCAACCATAGTCTTTGGAAAAAAGGATGAAATCCCAGAACAGAGAGAGCCAGAGAAGGCCATGCTCCCAAATTCTGAGTATGAACTCTGCTTAAATCTCTGCTGACCCCTGAAGCACACTTATGTGGGTAAATTGCAGTTTGAGTTGAACCAAGTTAATTGCCTGCCACAAAAATATCAACACAATTCTGAGAAGTAAAACAATCCACAGTGTCTGTACATAACAGTCACAATGTCAGCATTGGGGGAACCAGAAAATGTAATCCTTAAAGAAAGACAATAAGAGAGAACCTGAATGGTGGAATGATCAGACAAAGACTTTGAAACAGCTACTATAGCTATGCTATAAGTAGCATAATCTTCTATGTATGTACGTGTATGTATATGTATATAAAACTATGGTGAGCGATCCTGATAATAGAGAGCCTCTCCCATTTGCTGTGAACCTAAAACTGCTATTAAAATAATAAAGTCTTTAAGAACAAAACAAATCAACCAAACAACTTCATAGCCTTCATTTATACAGACAAAAACCATAGAGAAGATGAAATGGAAGAGATGACTTGCTATATAATAGCAAGACAGGACAGTGAAATACTTAGGTATAAATTTAACATGAACGTTCCAGACTTATTTGAGGAAAATTCAAAAAATACTATTGAAGGAAACAAAATTTGACTTGAGCAAATGGAAAGGAAACCATGCTCTTGGATAGAAAAACTTAACATTATAAAGATGCTATTTCTTCCAAGGTTAATTTATACACTTATTAATTTATACATAATGAAATCACAAAGAATTATCAATTTTTTTTGGAGCTAGACAAGTCAATCAGAGAATTCATTTAA